TCGTATCTTGTAACTATCTTCGTTACTTAGCCTCAAAACCTTACATTTGTCTTACATATCCTCAACAGTAGATAATAAAAAGTAACTGCAGAATTCTAGTTACCTAATACCAGCATGGTATAAAATCTTATTATAAGCTACCTGACGTATAGATCAGTGTTTAAAGTAATAATAATACATTATTATTAATTATTATTATTACATTACTATTATTACATTATTAAAAATACATTATTATTATTAATGTAATAATATTATTAAAATAATAATAACACAGCTGATGCCATCTGTCGGCAGAAGAGAACACTATCAACTGGCTGGTCAATAGTGGCCATAAGATACAGCTTACGCCATCTGTTGACATCAAATTACACTTATAACAAATTACCCTGCAAAATACAACTAACGCCATCTCGTTTTTTTCCAACGCACTATAAATAGCCAAACAGCAACCCATAAGGTGGGTTGTTGTGCTCGGGTAGGAGGTTCCAAGCTCCGCCCACAAATGGTATGGGGTGCATAATAAATGGCATATCATTGGTAGATATTCCTTGTTGACATTCACACAACAGCCAATCACAGGAAGGGATCAGCTAAAGGCTCCATTAAACTTAATAAATCATCTTTATTCAGCACACCATCTTGCTTATGACATTCTGTTTCAACTTTAATCTACCTAAAAAGTGAAATGTTAAGTATTTAAAAGTATTAATATAGTGATAATTAAATACTGCAGGATGTAACGAGTGTTACAGAAACATGGGCTGGCTACCTAACTTGTGACGTCATCAGGGGGGGTTGCCTCACACAAATAATGATACACTGCTCTGCCCTCTTATTCGAGTAAATTATTCAGTTAGATGGAGATTTCTGTCAGGTGCAAAACAGAAATTGTTGTTCTTTTTCAGAACAACCTTGTTGTTGTGCACAAGGGCCTATTTCTTAGTTTAAATTTTATTCATAAAAGAGTGTTGGTATTCCCCGCAACAGCCAATCACAGGAAGGTATTTCTGGAAGCTCGGCCTCCTTATGGACTCAACACATCGCTCTAGCTCATGGCTCTCTGTTTCATGTCTTCTATATACAAACTATGACTTTTTTCGATTACTGTAATAATTAATAATATGAGATATAAAAGTTTTTACACAAAATGGCTAAATTCTGCCATTAAATGGACTTTGTCTGGTATACGTACAAACATACACCAATTTATTACCATTCATCCATTATTAATTTCAAATGTAATGTATACTGTCTAGTTTTTTCCTCTCGCCATTTCTTTGTGCAATATTTGAAAGTTGTCTATTTATCGATCTATCTATTATCTTGTATTTATATTTACAAGTTTCTGTGCTTGGAAGAAAACTCTGCATTGAATTGGGACTAATTTATTAAATAATATTATTTAGTATTAATTGATATTTACAATTATTGTTAATTACCATTATTTATAGCTTAGTTGCTTTCATGTAACTCGCAATCGTACATTCTTAACATTAATGGCCCAAATTAGCACATCTTGTTTTTAAATTAGCCCAAAAAGTAGCAAGCAGCGAAATTAAAAATTTGGGAGCGCGGGGCTCTCAAAAGTAGCCCAATTCGCTATTTGTAGCCCAATCTGACAACATTGCACTGGGGTCACTGGCATGTTTACAAGTTAAGCAGCCTGGAATACGTTCAGTAGATATTCAAACTGGCAAATAAGTACTTAATAAAACACCTATTTTATATTTAAGACATTTTTAATAAAATGTCTATTTTATATTTAAGACATTTCTGCTTTCAATTTCAATACATAAAATAAATACATGTGAACTAATTAGCGACTTTATTATTATAAAATGGATTTTATATATTTATTTATGCTGATACATAGACTAATTTTATTTATTAATTACTTTTATACAAGAAGGTACATTGGGTTTATTAGAGTACAATTCAATTTCTTTCTTTATTATGCACCCCATACCCATCCCGTGGGCGGTGGTGTAAAGGATTACAGATCATCCCGTCCTCCAAAAATGGGGTGGTAAATGTAAGAAGACAAATAAGTGCAATTATGTACTATTCATAGCAGTTAGGAATTGTACTTATTTTCACTTAGTATTAAATCGTAGTCAAATATATTGGGAATATTTGAGTTTACCTGAGAAACTGAATAGAAAACCACAACCTCACCTAACCGTTTTAGTTTTTGTAGATAATAATTTTATTGCTTCTTAATTACAATTAGTACTTAACCTATAGCTATATTGATATTACAGTTTTATAAAACTAATAAAACAAAACTAAAATATATAAATAAATTGTAAAGTAACTCAGGATATTTTAAAATTTTGTATAAAATCCATATTTTTAATAAAGCCGAAAAACAATTTCCTGATATTTAAAACTTGTGTATTGCAAATCCCTTGGGCGGGGCACGATGCTGATTAGCAGATCTAAGACCACATCTGGTGAGAGCCTCCAGGGCACACCCAGCTGAGGGCTGCTGTCTCCGTGGGTGCTCAGAAAGACGAAATGTCACAGAGATCCGATTCCTTGCCTTCACTGCCTAGTCTGGTCATAACGATTTCAATGCCATGCAGCTGGGTCTAGCCCTGGCACTTTACCTCATACTGAAAACCCTTCCTCTCACCCCCACTAATTCTTCCCCTATCCCCACTTCCACGCTCACCCATTAGGGTATCTTGACCTATATTTAATTCATTCATTCATTCAAATTTAAATTTAAAACTTCATCCTAAAATTCGGAGTGTCTTAACAGAAAACGAGGAGAATTAAATCAGGGGAGGGGGTTGGGTAAATGTAACAGCCCCAGTTAGTTTAGTTCATTTATTATGCACCCCATACCCATCTTGTGGGCGGTAATGGAAAGGGTTACAGAGGCACATAATGGGCTCAGGGACTGAACCCCACAATTCATTTAGCTAAGTAAGTTACAATCTTGATGAGCTAGTTACAAAATTCAATATAAGTCGTCACATCAACAATGGATTCGAGATCGACCTCAAGTACAGGTTCTAAATTAAGCAACTGACATATGTGGAGAGCTAGTGTCAAAATTTATATATTTGTCCTGCACACCGCCCCCCATCCAGTGGGCAGCGGTGGATAGGTTACAATCACTTAGTTACTACCTACAGTTAGCAAACTGGGGATATTTGGCTAAAATTTCTGGTAGCAGATCATTTTGAATGAAATATTGACACATCGCTGGAACATTGATTATAGAATTGTCTCTAAATTCACGTATCTTTTCGCACTCCATCACATAGTGACGGAGGGTGTGCGAATAATTTTGTTGACACAGTTTACATTTGGTCAGGTCTACATCAGCAGATGAGAATTCCCAGAGATACTTGTAACCGAGTCTAAGCCGAGCAGTAGTAACATCTAGAAGTCTGCTGATTTTATTGGATGATCCATAGATGTGTGGCTCCTCTTGCATGATAGTATGATGATAGATGGAATTACTGGTGTCAATTTCACTTTGCCTCAGATCTACAAGATCTTGTTGAAGTTCTCGGTGTACTGCTGCTCTCAGATTGCTCATTGACAATCCAAGGTTACACTCAACGGCTCCTTTAAAGGCAGATTCTTTGGCTAACTTATCAGCTCTATCATGCATTCGGAGGCCAACATGAGATGGAGACCACATGCCCCATAAGTGCAATTATGCACTGTTTATGACAGTAAGGAAGTGTACTTATTACAATTAGTATTAAATCGTACTGTCAATTCCATCCAACCCATCCTATGAATTGACACTGTTTATGACAGTAAGTAAGTGTACTTATTACACTTAGTATTAAATCGTACTGTCAATTCCATGTGTATACGCCCCACAATCACCACATAAGAACCGTCAGTCTGTTGAGATCGGGTTCAGCGACGAAAGGAGGATTGACAATAAAAGCGTCCTCTCGTTTGAGACGTTGGGTACTATAGTTCTACAGGAGAGTGAGTATGCCTCCCCAAACACCCGGGCATCAAAACAGAAGTCCGAAAGAATAATCAAGATTGGCAAAAGGTCGGCAGGAAATGACAATTAGAAAGGAGAAGAGGAGGGGAGGGGGGAGAAAAATTAAAACAAGTTAAAGGAAAAGATTTCTGGCAAAATTGGTGAAGACAGCAGCAGGAGCATAAAGCTTCAAAAGGACAGGGGACTGACCCATGGAGCATATCAAACTCTGGCAGCCCCCCACCAAGCCCCCTCACAACGACAACGGGCCAGAACGGGAGGGGAGGTGACTTCCAATTAGTGCATGCGTCGAGCTTCCCGACCATTCCTCGCGGCCATTTGTCCCCTCGATAAAATTCTTGGGGAATTGAATACCTTCGATATCATTCCCCTTATGCGTCTGTTCTCGTATTGGCATCCTTAGTGATATTTAGCGCACCATGACTATCCCATACATTTGATGGTGCTCCATAGCCTTCCCGGCTTAGTGCCTTCTATTGATAATTACTTAATTCCATGCAGGACAAAAATGGATGGGCACATTTCCTTTCAATTAATGCCTCTGTTCACACTGTAGTAAATAGATAACCAGGAGCTAGGCAATTATTGAGTTGCATTCTGGGGAGCATCAGAAGTCCGACCTTGGAGGACCTCGATATAAGTCAGTCTAAAGTTCATGCATATTATAATTAAAAAAAAAAAAAAAAAAAAAAAAAAAAAAAAAAAAAATTATATATTATATATATACACACACACCTACCTTAGGAAGTGATGTGGTGGAGGCTGACTCCATACACAGTTTCAAGTGTAGATATAAGAGCCCAATAGGCTTAGGAACCTGTACACCCGTTGATTGATAGTTGAAAGGCAGGACCAAAGAGCCAGAGCTCAACCCCCGCAAACACAATTAGGTGAGTACATACAGGCTTCCCGTCCACAAATTCCCGGAGAATTCATCATTTGTATTCTTGCTTGGTATGCCTCAGTATCTTCCACATCCTAGCTTGCATTAAATGGGCATGATAAAAAAAAAAAATACTGGAGAAACTATTTTAATGCACCACAAAGAATTATCACAAATACAAACTACAGCTGAACAAATGTTCTGCAGACAGTTGCTTGTTGCTCCACCAATGTTTAGGTTCTACCTTGTGTACATTAATAAATATATTGAACTAACAGTCTTGTACTGTACTATTATCTGTAAAATATTTGTATGGAGTTGGGTAGCTGTTTATTTTAAGAGAAAAGTCCAAAAATGGCCTATTACCTAAAGCTATACATTCGAATTACAAATATACTGTACCATTTTTCATACTTTTTATTAAAAATCTAGAAATATGAGACTAGAAATAAAATATAGAAACACACAAAACCTGCACTATGCATAAATATTATAAAAATGTGAAGGCCATTATGCCTTATGAACAAGAAACCCTGGAATGTAGGAAAAAAATGCATGGTATGCTTACTATTATAAAAATCAATGAATTCCGAAAACTACTAATCAGGGAAAATTTGTGCCTATGTTATACAAACATATACCATATTTTCTCCTAACAAACTTAGATAATTATTAGAAAGCTCCTCTATTCTAAAGTAACAGGTACTCAAGTATGGATAACTATTTTACAAAACTACTTCAGAGACTCGACAGTTTCTTCCCATGATTCTTTCACCCAAGATTTTATTTACAATATTATTTCTTTGATTTACAGTATATGAATCTGACTGCCGGATTCTGATTTATATGAATACACAAATGGGTAAAAAATTTCTCCAGAACGTTTTATACATACTCGTCTGCAGTTACTAGAAATGAGAAATGACATATGAAAAACAGCATCCAATAGATGCATTAATTTACCATAAACCTATAAAACAAAGGATATCAACAGATTAATTAATACTGTTTACATGTACAGTACTAAAACATTAACCCCACATATAACTACAACAATTGTTCATATAAAAAGTAACCAAAATAAAAGAAACTATAAATATGGCATTAAAGAATACAGTAACACTTTATATGGCCTATTTTGAAACAAGTGGTACTCCAATTCAATTAAAGAGGTGGAATCCCTTGCACATGGAAGCACACATGGGTGAACTAAATGCAATAAACATCAAAATCTCCTCTCAATTTCTTTTCTGCATTTACAATTAAATTTCCAGGATAACACTTACGCATTCTTTAAATAGAAAAATTCAACAAGTCCAAAAAAAAAATTACATTTGTGCTTCCAAATTCTTAGCTTTAATCTTATTTTTGTCTACATATATATATATCTTGGGTTTTATAGACTAGAGGGCCAGCAAGGCAGAGTTGCCCACAATGTATATGGGCAGAGAGCAAATCAAATTCTTGGGTCTTGAGTCACTACCTCAGACATAACACAGTAAGGTAAATCTTTATTAGATTCCATACTTGTTAACCAATTGGATTTGACAACAAGCTGGTTGGATAAAAAACCAGGAAGTGCTATATACTAATGGTACTAATGTACTAAATGCTATAGAAGCTAGCAGCCATGAAGTAGTAATAAACTACCTCCCATGGAGGAGCGGGTCAGCCTAGTAATTAGTGTACTGCGCTATTGTACCTAACACAAACTTTAATTATGGATCTAATGGCATTTTTGTCTTTACATAATAAAAGCAGTTGCTTATCCTAAGAAACAGCTGAAACAGCCAAACCAAAAGCATATGCTGAACATTGCTATAAGCAAACCATACATTACCCAAGATAAAATTACTCAGTATTTCTAACTTGCCTCATTTTTTCCCAAATAATCACCTACAGTACTTCCTTTTTAATACAAAATTAAAATTCTTTTACATGATGCGAGAGCTGCTAAGGTTGGTGATCATGTAAAGTAATCATGTGTATAAATTCTGTATTACTATACATGATAATATAAAAATACATCAAGAAATTACAGTACTGGTACAGTACTGTACAGTGGCCCCTCCGTTTACGAATTTAATGCTTTCCCAGAGACGGTTCGTAAACTGAAACAAATTTTTCCATAAGGAACAATGTAAATTAATCTGTTCCACTCCCAAAAATATTAACTTTTCATATATTACACTACAAATATTTTGTACTACACTATGTACAAATTATATCTCACCTTTGTTGATGACTCTTGTTGGCGTATGGAAGACGGCGAGGTATTGGTGGGAGGGGGGGGGGGGGAAGGAGAGGTGTTAGTGTTTGGAAGGGGAGTCCCCTTCCAAACACAAATGTTTTTCCTCTGTTAACCTGCTAACTCCTTGTTGTGTATCCAAATTAATAACTTTTCAACATCCTCAAGTGTTTGTGTTTGTTTCGTGACTTGTTACGCCTTTTGCCACTATAGCACACTACAGTGTGTCCTTTTTCTTAGCAAGTGTGGTACATATCGTTAATATTTGTTGTACTGCCTAGCTAGTTCAACAACCCACATACCATTTTCATGTTTACGAATGATCTCTTGATTTTTCTCTATCGTCATCCTCACATTTGCTTTCTTAGGTTGAATCTTACCACTTAATTTCTTGGGAGCCATGGCATAATATATAATAATTACTTATGTTCAGAAACAAAAAAACAGAAAAAAGGGAAATTCTTTACAAAGAATACAAGCTTTATTATAACTAGGTGGGAGGCACTGGTAAATTGAATCGGGCTGAGCCCTTGTCACCAGGAACCACGTGCTCCGTCGACCCATACATGTACATTATTCACAAACTTGCCAAGTGAGGACCGAGTCAAATTTTTCAAAGAAATTGAGCTTGTAAACCAAAAAATTTGTAAAGTGGGCATTCGTAAACCGAGGTTCCACTGTATGTGCAAAAACAATGTTTCATTTGTCACGTGACACCCTTAAATACAAACATGCTTGCCATGCCTATGTTTAATTTTCTATGCAAAATAATGTATATAGCCATTAAGGTTAGCATTAATGATGTTTAAAAATAAGGATTATGTTACATTTAAAAACAATCTTATGCATATTTATAAAATGGAAAAGTGAAGGTGGTGAACTTTAGATAGTAAATTACCTTTTGATAAAAAATTACCTTAACAAATAAGTTGACTTACAAAGATAAACAGTTAAGAATTATAACTCGTATGCTATTACTATACTATGACTTGCTATTCATCAGACTGGGTCTTCACATCATACACAAATCTGTATGCTAACAAAGAAATCTTTATGGGATTACAAAACAATGACACAAATTAGTTTGATAAATCAATGACAGTTCAAAGCTTTTGTCTACAAGTCATGGTTGAATTGAAACATGTATTTTGTTGCTACCATGTCGTATTGCTTGTGAATGGCACTAAACATTGTACTCTTTATACAATGTCATGTTATGATAGGTGGAATAGAACAGACCACACACAACCTACATAAATTATGTGAAGAAAACAAAAAGTATGATAAAGAAAGATCTAGGGGTGGTTCTAGAGAAAACGATCACCTGAGAACCACATAAAGAACTTTGGGCAAGAAGTCTAGACACCATGAGCATAGTTCTCATTCTGTAATCTCACTTAGGTACAGTAATTACACTTGTACATTAAACTGCTAAAGGGTATCCATAAATCAAGCAATGAATGTAATAAAACTCTCTTTTAGGGTGAGGCTGTTAGTAGTTTCTCTAGCACAGTGCTAGTCCAGACAAGGTGTAGAGAGGAGCAACAGCCCAGAGACTCGCCCTTGCCCATTGGGAACCAAGATCAGAATCAGTCTAAGAGCAGGGGGATGGGAGATAAGGTTAGGAAATTAACAGTAGAAAGTACTACTACTATGTAGCACCATCAAAGTAACAGGAAATTGTTCAAAAGGCGCTAAATATCAATATGAGAACAAAAGCGCACAAGGCAGGCAATATCAAAGGTATCGGATTCTACAATAATTCTATCGAGAGACAAGTGACCACGAGAGACAGATGGGAAGCAAGACACGCACGTCATGAAAGTTGGGATATTCAACAAGGATATGCACGATTGTAAGAGGGACAATGCAGTTTAGACAATAAGGAGAAGGGTGGCATGCCAATTATTGCCCAAGAGTTAAACATGTATGGCCAATACCCAGCACAGGGCAAGATAGTCATAAGGGCCAAGAAAATGCCAGAAGGAAGGCAGGAAAGAAAACCATTGCGGGCAATCAGGAACAATAGTAGTACTGTACTTGGAACACTATCTTGGGGAACACTTTTGTATTGTTGAAGAGTCCGAGAAGGTGCTACCAAGTCTCACTTTAAAATGGCAAGAGATTTGCTTGGACAGGGCAAGTGTTTTACCACTGCACCACTGAGATTATATTGTTTGTTGTGTTACCTGCAGATACCCAATTTTTACCTGCGTCTTTGGTTGCACTTATGATTTCTAGTAGCCTTTCTCACTTTTGGGTTAATCTCTAAGCCCTCACCTCATTAGACAGGCTTTAATTCTGGTTCCGAGTAGAGAAAGGCGAGTCTGAAAGACTTGGGGGCACCTCCACAAAGATTAGCTGGAGCAGCACTTTGCCTGGGAAGTTATTAAGGGTCCCATCATCATAAAGGGCATCTTACTACATTCATTACTTTAAAATATATAACAATTCACCAATATTCTCATTCTAACAATTGGCCATGTACTTACAGCCTTGACAATGGTTACAAAAATAATCAAATTATACTGAGTTTATTAAATAAGTCGTTTGTATATTTAACATTTTTAACAAAGAAGTGGCCCACAAAATATATATTCTAACACCAGATGATCATTCATACCATAATTTAACATCCAATTTGGTATTTATGGAGGAATGAGAATGATTCACCGATTTCCCAAGGAGTTACTCTAAAAGTAACAGAAGCTACTCTACTCATCAAGGCAAATTGGGGGGGAGGGGGGGCCTTTGACAAGCCACTGGCTTCCTGTCCTCATTGAGGTCACTAGACCTCAAGTAAATTGGGTAAATTTCAATATATGCATCTAATGCCAATTTCAAATCCAATGAACTGAATGTGGCTGAAAATTTCCTAAACTAGCTAGATAAACATGAACTAACTTTCCATACAGCTCTGATCTGAAGGTGATGTAGGAAAGTCCAATAGCATCTTCACAGAACAGTATAGTATATGCAACCTTTTAATAAATTTTAGACAAAACCTGACAAGACATCCAAAAAAGAATACATTTTCCCCAGTAAACTACTGCTCTTTGCCCAAATATGCCCACAAAATCTAATTAGCACCTACAAATTAAAAATGTTGAAATAGTCTCTTCCAAATCAACACTCATTAACACACTCAAGTGGTAAACTGATTCAGACAGAATACCAATAATTTTATTCATATATTACAATACTGAAAACATATATTTATAGCATTACTTAGGATTAAAACACAAACCCTTTGTCATGCAATGCATTAAATGTATTGCATGTACAGTACTATATTTCCATTCAAATATAAACGGAATAAAGCACAACAGAACACACCTCACCAGCATGCCCATAAACACCCCCTGTTCACCCACCAACATACTTGGAATGAAATGTTGGAATATGCAGCGGTTGTATGGTGCCCTAAATCTCAAGCAGCACATCAATAAACTGGAAAAGGTGAAATGGAACGCTACAAAATTAATTTTGAAATGGAAAAACAAGAGTTACGAGGAGAAACTAGAAGCGTTAAACATTAACAAACTAGAAGATAGAAGAAAAAGAGGAAATATGATCACCAGTTACAAAATACTAACAGGATTTGACCAAATTGACCAAGAGGAACTCCTGAAACCAGCAACTTCACTAACAAGAGGACACATTCAAGCTAAGGAAACAAAGGTACCCAAAAAATATTAGAAAGTTTTCTTTTGCAGAGTGGTAGACGGTTGAAACCAACTAAGTGAGGTGGTGGTGAAAGCCAAAACTGTCAGTAGTTTCAAAGCATTATATGACAGAGTATTGGGAAGACAGGACACTACAAGCATAGCTCTCATCCTGTAACTACACTTAGGTAATTATACTTGGCTAATTACACACACATCCCTGTCCACCCACCAACACACTTCCATACACCGTTTTAAGTGTAGATAGGAGCCTGTACACCTGTTGATTGATGGTTGAGAGGTGGGATCAAAGAGCTGAAGCTCAACCCCCCCCCCCCCAAGCACAACTAGGTGAGTACACATCCCTATCCACCCACTGGGACACCAACACACCCACCATATTTAGGTGTTAAATATACTAAAGCTAGAGGACAAAATAAAAAAAAAAGTGATATGATCGCTACATTCAAAATAGTAACAGGAATCAACAAAACTGACAGGAATTCTTGAAAACCCATCACTAGTTTCAAAACATCATGTATCAAAGTACTGGGAAGACGGGACATCACAAGCATAGCTTTCATCCTGTAACTGCACTTAGGAAATTATTAGTATGATCACAACCCACAAAACACACCCCTGAACCCACAAACTAATCCATACTTGCCTGCCCACCCACACAATTATTCAATTGACTGATGAATTTTAAAATTAATGTTATGGATTATTATAATTACAAAGGAATTCAAACGTCAACAGACCTTTAGATCAAAACTAGACTGCTTGTTTATGGAAAGCTTATGATGGTACAAACAATGGAATGCACTGATTACATCACTTGCTAGAGAGAAACTGGAGTGAAATTGTTTACTTATATTGTACTATAATTGTAATGTATTATGTAACAATTATCTTAAACATAATCTAGCATTAAAATGCCAACTGTTGACCTTTGGATATGACAGGACTTCAACTACAAGTGACCTCTCACTAAATTGGATAAATTTTATAACCAGTTTAAAGATAAGAGTATCCAAATCAAGTTTCTATAGACAGCCATGATCTTTGGTATATTATTTACACATTACACATATTTTGCTGGAGTAAATCCTTTAAAAAATGGCAGTTACCATGCCAACAAGATTCATGTGTCATTTTATAGATCATTTCAATCTCCAAACTGTTTGTTTCTCATTGCTGGAGACAGGAAGCCCTTTAGAATGTTCAAGGTCCCAAGGCTAACAAATGACTTTCCCAAGGATGCAATTTAATACTTGGCTAGCTATTTCTCAGATATATATTTACTACTAGGTGAGCAGAGGCATCAGATGCAAGAAAACACGTCCTAACATTTTGCCTTGCCAGGGATTCAAACCCAGGACCACTCGATTGCGAGCCAACTGCTGACCAATGCACAACACGGTATTACCGCTCCAGCTTTTGTTGGAGAAATACCCTATTTGAACTACTGGTATTTGAAAATTCAGATTTGGAGGTTGAACTATACACTGATATGGAATTATGGCACTATATTAGATACCTGGCAGTGCCCAGGTCTCTCTCTCCATACTGTCCACTTCCATTCTCTCTCCCCCCCCCCCCCTTTTCCCACTATCTCTCAGAACATGCAATATACCCCAGGAAACACAATGTAATGACAATGTTGCCTTTATTTGTGTTACTTTAATGCAATGTTGTAACAACCTAATACATTGTGTGATGAACAGCTGAAAACTTTAAACTGAAAAACAAACCCCCCCCATTTCAGACTTCATAGGAGTCATTGGTAGTCACAATAGAAGCCAATCCTTCATAAACAGAGGTAATGGGGCTGACCCTGACCTGCTTATGACAGTCCCCTACCACCCTTGTTTCATCCTGAAGAATTGGGCACAGCTAGCCCCAAGCAATTGGCCTCCAATCTTGAGGACACAATTCTTTTCTAGATGCACAATATTTTCCAATACCTCCCTTAAATATTTTAGCTCCAAAAACAATTTAATGAGTGACTGCAATATGTCTACATCCACTAATGCTACAAGATATTTTTCAAAGTTATACTATCATTGTGCTAATATAATTGATAAAACTAACATCCCACAGCAATATAAAATTCATTTGCGTAATGTTTTTGTTGTAAACTTTGTGATATTTATTGTCACTTGTTACAGATGTTTTACATACAGGAACTTGAGTAAAAACAAGGTGTGCTATGCCAAGAGAAATAACTAATTATCAGTAACTATATATTAACCTATTTTGAAATCATGTACACTGTCTTGAACACCCTGAGAATTGGTTGGTTCATGCAGTATGGAATGTCAAGAAATGTAAAACTATTTTGGCTGCCAATCTATGTAGACAGTCATAAAACAAACTTCAATGCAGCAGCAAATATTAGCACTTTCAGGAATAATGTTTTCAGTTCTCTCTCATTGAACATTTAATTGATTTATCTCCCTAAATACATATCTTGAAATGTATTAGGAGTCACTTTCAAATTTCTTTACAGAACTTAATCCTTTTTCTCTCTTGGTTTATAGGCAATAGCTGCTATGATGATGCACATGTTCAGAACGAAAGAGGTGCAAAAATTCATCAGAAGGGCAGGATCAGCCGACTCCACATAGATTGTGAATATACGAGCTGCAATCATAAAGACAATTAATAATTTTGTTCAGTAAAACAGGTGGAGAAGCAAGCATTGAATCAAGTACTGTATAAACATGCTAGCATCATAAAGCGAGCTCATTTCAAGGGAATTTTTTTTAATATCACAGACAACTCATTAATTTTTCACTCTTCCTTTAACACATTCATTCTCTTAAGTCTGGTTTATCCTGCCTCCAGCTTCCCATTAAACCAACCAACTCACTTCATCTCAATTTACAGTACTGTATACTGTATCTAGTTTACAAACACTTGCTCCAAAATACTTTATTACTCTTCTTAATTCAGGGGTGTTATTTATTAACAAGACTGGCATATAGTTCATAGAAAATGAGATACTAAGTTTTGGGAATTCAATCTTTATAATGTTGCCAACATCTTTATTACATCCACATCGGAAACATTCATCATTTTCATATAATGTATCGATTTTGCAGGCAAAAAAGAATCTTGTAACTCCATTAAAAGAAAAAAAAAAGACCAAGCTAAAGCGGTTGTACATGTATTCCTTGATTTGTGCGGGGGAGGTTACGTTCCTGTAAAATCCCAACCAAGCAAATAGTGTAAACCGTACAAAATATGGAAAAAACCAGCGTTAAATGTAATGAAATGCCATTTTCTGGGCGAGCCCCTCTGGTTTCCTGGAGCTATCAGGCATTATATTATTAAACCCTGTTCTCAAATGCAAACCATGCTCTGAAACTCTCCCTGGACAGATGTAATAGGACCCATTATCACCACACCAGAAATAAATATCTCTTTGATATCCCAGGGTCAAACTTAATCTGTGTAAACACTCTATGCAAATTAAGGGACCTAGTCTATGGAACTCACTCCCTAGTGAATTGAAAAACTGTAAAACTTTTGCCTTATTTAAAAGCAAAACCAAAAAGTACCTAACTTCATCTTCTTAGTTTCCTACACTGAGCTTTAAATTTGCTCTGTACCTAGTGTTACCCAATCTCCTAATTTTTATGTAATATCAAACAACCTTATCATTGTGTTCATTGCTGTCTTCTTCTATGTGCTAGCCATATGCTGTATTGTGACTACCAATTTTTGTCAACTACCATTCAAGCTGTCATTGCAACCAATCTTATATTGTTTCTGCTGTATTGTGCCTACCAATTTTTTGTCAACTACCATTCAAGCTGTCATTGCAATCAATCTCAGCTACCTATGTGCTTTAATATACTATACCTACAATTTTCTCTCATCTTTTTTTCATTTCATGTAATCTGTTATCATTTTTTTGTCTATAATTTTTGCAAGTATTTACCTCCTTAAAATTTTCTTAGATTAAGGACCTGCCCGAAACGCTGCGCGTGCTAGTGGCTTTACAAGACTGTAATTACCATATTTGTATCCTCACATTCCTTATGTACATTCTTGTATATGCATAAATAAATAAATAAATAAATAAATTGTGTTATATTAGTCTGGGGCATCAGTCAATTTGAGTTCAGCCTATTGGAGACCATGAGCCAGAACCTGGCCCCCTCACAGAGGCAAAGAGAGCAATGACTTATGGAAATTATATTTGGAGTCATGCCATGTCTGCCATCAACCAGGATTGGCACCCTGAAAGGTAGGCATAACAAAACAGACCCCAACATGGTAAGAAAATTGCACCAGGTAAATTGAGCTGTACTGTACACTGCAACTCCTGTCCAGTGTTTTCTACATTTGCACAACAGCAAATATGGAATTCTCGGGTTGGTGCAGAGGCAGAGTTAAAAGTTCCCCAGTCATGCGGGATTGTGACCAGATGTATTTGGAAATCATTACCAAAAATCTTGGTAATGTCTACTTTATTAGTTCATTGCCAAGTGATTTTATCATCAACAGCTAAAGTAGCAAAGATAATATTGCTAACAAACAGAAGACTGTTTGTAACCAATGGAATCTATCACAAATTGATCTGTTCAAGTGGAGCTGCACAAAGTATTTGTGAGAAGATATTAATATAGGTATTGTACTTACTAACACAAGTGTATGCAGAGATTGACCACGAAGGAATGGAGACCATGGCCGAATTCTTAGAACGTATAATGGTTATTAAAGCTACCACCTTGCTGCTGGCTGAAATGGGTGTGCACAAACCCTGTGAAGTAAACATGATAACTGCTAATCAAACTGCACTAAAACATAAAACTGAATTATAAATTTAATTTAAAAGTAAATTTAAAAGTTATAAATTACTTAAATGCATTACAGTACATTCTATCTGACCAATGTTATCATGCTCATTGTACAATAACTTGGGAAACTGGTAAATTCCTCGATATGAAACCTCTCATAAAATAAATAGAGTATATCTACATCTTATGAAGTATCAATAAGGCTATTTTAGTCAATAACAAGTTTGCCATCATCATATTACATAGCATTTCTATAAATATATAAAATAAATATTCTCAGGTATCAATTCAAAACAGTCCTACAAGTGATCCACACACTAAACACTATAAATAAAATCAACGGGTATAAATTGTTTACAATAGTCTACATACCAAATAACCCTGACCTCCCAACTCCAAAGATTTGAACTTTACTGGATTTTTTAATTCCAAATATCAGCCACAAAAATCTAAGACAATGAAAAAAATTAAAAAATTTACAATGTCAAGTTTTAGTCAACATGAGAAATGGGAACCAAAAATCAAAGACAATCATACTATAATACACCCACTTTGCAAGTCTAAAACACAAGGGACAACCAAATCCTTAATTATACTTTCTTGTGTGAAACTTCATTACACACAGAAATCACAATAGCGTGATGCATCAAATGGCCTATTGACATAGCTTTCTGGGCAACCACCCCAATGTTGAACTCCTGACCCTCCACAGGATGCAATCCCACAACAAGCTAATTGACTCCTGGATACTTATTTACTGCTAGGTAAACTGGAGCATTAGGTGATAGGAAACGCACCCAACCATTTCTGTCCCGTCCAAGATTCGAAGCTGGAATTCACAACTGTGAGAAGAGAACGAACCCGACTGCACTAATTAAGTTTACTTTAAGTTTATTGGAACTTAAGGTGTGAACTGAAAGAAGTCCGTTCTGTAGAATGATACTAGATTGGACACTAGGCATAACACCAATGGAGATATTAACCATATACTGTATTGCCATTTAAGTACAATTATTCAGCCCTTGGCAAGTATCCAAACATCCTGGTGCTGGAATCAAGTCACCATGACAAAGTACAGTACTGTGATGCCCATTTGTAAGCAAATTTTGCCAATATGTAGAACCATGTATATTATGGTGTATATTATATCTCCTTTCATTTAAAATATTACTGTATTAAAATAGTACTGCTAGAACAACATTGCTGATTTCCAGATGGTTGGCACAGTGAATGTTTAGTTGCTTGCATCAGGTTCTACAATGTCCAGCTACTCAATCCTTGAGAGCCAAACTTAGATCCAGTAATATGCAAGGTAACAATACACAATAATAATACTACAAAGTGGTTCTCGCCTTTTTATTTGTTTTAATGAGATCTTAAATTTAAAATTTACCATGAATCATTTCACTACATTACCTTCATGCATCACGTACACTCATGATACATGAATATTTGTCTAAATATCCAGCCATTACAGATGCACAAGAACAAAGGATTGCAGAATGTCTATTGGACCACACAATGCTGATCCTATTTATATCCACTCAAACTATAAAAAAAAAAAAAATCTTTAGGTAGTAGGGTAGGGTGCCTAAAGAAATTTTGTTTAGCTTGAGAATAGGCACAGTTGTAAGACATATGAGAAAGATTTGTAAATAAAGGAAATTTCAGAATTAAGAAACTGAGGATCACTAATGCATAGAGTGCAGAGGAAGAGAGAGACGAGAACACTTTTCTTAACAGGAGGAGGAGGATGGTAGGAAAAGAAGTGAATGTACATACCACTATGCATAGGTCTGCAGTAGACAGAAAAAGAACCTGGACACAGAGCTGTGAACATGAACGTCAAGAAAAGGAAAGAGGGAATTAGATTCCCATTCAACTTTGAAATGGATAGAAGGAGCCAGATTAAAAGAAGAGAGGAGAGGAAAGGCTAGAAAAGACTAAGGTCATGAGGCCATAAAGCAAAAATGTCATCAACATAGCGAAGCCAGAGAGGGGGACGAGTATCAATAGTGGGAAGAAGTTAAAATATTCCATACAGAGATTGGTAAGAACAGGGGAGAGAAGGGAATCCACAGCGACACCGAAAGTTTGAGAGAAGTATTTTCCGTTGAAATAGAAGGAATTAAGAGTTAGCACAGAGTCTGACGAGTTCAAGGAAAACGTCAGTGGGAAGTGGGAGATGAAGAGGGCCATCAGTTGTCGTATGACTAAGGAAAGAGAGAACGTCATCATGGGGAACATTAGTAAACAGTCTCTCGACATGAAGACTTAGTATCATACAGACAAAGTCTTTCTATGAAGTTCTGAGAGTGACGAAGGTGGGCAGGAGAAAAAGTGCCAAGATAAGAAGTCAGAGTTTTAGCAAGCCAGGAGACAAGAGGATAGCCGACAGTGCCTCTTGAAGAAATGATAGGACGAAGAACACCAGGTTTATGAGTCCTAAGTATAGCGTAGAAATAAGGAACAGAAGGACTTAACAACCGATTTTACAATGGTCCAGGCGGACCATTGTCATTGTCAATGACAATGTCAACGAGACAAGTCATTGTCTCATCTTCTGGCATGTGGTTTTCATACATCATTTCTCTACTGTAACAATATGCCATCTGGCTGTTATAATTTTCATTCCTTTCCAGTAATCTACTTTACCTCTTCACTTATAGCATAATACAATTTCTCTGTTTCATCATTATACACAGCAAGTATATATAAAACATGCTTGTTTAATCACCACACAAAAAGACTTATAACAGTAACCCAAAAGACAATCTGGAAATTTGTTAGGAAGTGGTTACTTATTGGAAAGTTAGTCAAATTAACTCTCAAAAGGAATATGAAGAATTTAACCAGGTCACTATCCTTACTGTGAAATCTTAGCATATTTTATTGGAAAAATTTCCCGTCTTCTAAAAGTAGAATTTCCCATCAGGAAATTAGGCTTCCCAGAGCAGTTTGATGGTATGGAAAGACAAGAAGAACCAATTTTGATACAACTTTTGGGAAAATATTGGAGCGAGATGACTATTATTTTTATTATACAATATTTAAATTCCAAACCAATATGGTAAAATGTAAGCTCAACTTACAGCTGTGACTCTTGGGTATTTATAACAATGCACCATAACTTGACTAGTAATGAATATAAGTATTAATATAATAAAAAAGAAACTTACCACCAATGTTTTTATAAGGACATGAGGAAGTTTTCCCGAGGCTATAGAGTAAGCAAAGTATGAAGCAGCAGCCATGGGAAGAAAAGCTGTTGGTGAGAGCCGACCAGTGAAGGCCAGAAATACTGCTACCATCACCACGTCTTGGAGAACCATTAAAGGGTACTCAAAGTAGGTGCTGAGAGCATAAGCAGAGTACACATTGTAGCTGAGCATAATGGAGTAGCTGAAAAAGAATAAAAACATGAGACTTAACATCAGGACACCTGCCAAAAACACAGTCTGATAGCTCCTAAAAAATCTAAATTTTTAATAATGCACATATTAAAAAAAAAAAAAAAAGTTCTGATCCCTACACAGGAATCAGACTCTGGATCCCCAATAGCGAGTTGAGAATATAGACCACTGTACTACAGGATCCATATTTCACAAACCACCAGATTCCCAATCCTACCAAGGAAACTAGAGATGACCTTCATGCAAATTCAATGCACAACACTTTGCTTTAAAAATATTGGCAAATTATTTCACTAAAACTAAGCAAAATGCTTTCTTAAATCAAGTAATTAAAATCAGAAATAACTTGCAAAATGTTATTATTCAATAAAACCATAAATGTATTAAACAAATAGACTAAACAGGCAAAATATAATACATAGGCACCTCGACTTGCGATTGCCCCGATTTACGATAATTTCAAGTTACTGTATAAATTTGATCGGAAAATGCAACTCGACTTACGATAAGTGTCGTCGACTAACGATATTCGTGGATACACGTTCGGGTCGACCGAGCGCGTCACATGGGGCCGACCTGCCACAATTTACTAGAGCCGCCCGCTTAGTGACGATGACTCTTATAAGAAATTACATTTTTTTTACAGTACACAAATACTGTACCATACTTGAGATAAGGATAGATGAGAGAATAATAAGAGCGTCATCAGGGCAGGGCGAGGTACATAATATCTGATCTTAGAAAGAATGCCAACAGTTTTAGAAACCGTTTTTGCTATATTTAGAATGTGTCCCTGGAAATTCAGCTTGTTATCGATGAGGATACCAAGGAATTTACCATCAACTTTGTTAGTAATTTGGATATTGTTTATTCTTAGATTAATTTCATTTGAGGACTTATTACCAAACAAAATATAGAAAGTTTTGTCAATGTTAAGGGTAAGTTTGTTAGTAGTTAGCCAAAGATGTACTTTCTTTAGTTCAGTATTCACTGTGACATTTAGAGCAAGAGGGTCAGGACTGGAGAAAATGAAGGTTGTGTCATCAGCAAATAAGATTGGTTTGATGATGTGAGGCATTTGGAAGGTCATTAATGTAGATGAGAAAGAGGAGAGGGCCAAGTATGCTGCCCTGTGGAACACCAATGTTTATGAGTAGGGTGGGAGAAATGGAATTATTCACAGAAACATACTGGAGCCTGTCATTAAGGTACAATTGAAGGTATTGCAGGGAGTCACCTCTGACTCCATAATGATGTAATTTAAGAAGATTTTGCTGGCGCTCAAACTGAAACCAGACCAGGAGCTAGAAAACTGGAGGCTTTTTTGTAAATTAGAGATGGTATCTCATCAAGGGCACTTTGTTTTAAGGGAGAGGATTACTGTACTTCATTAACATCAGAGGAGTTAGCAGGAGTTAGGTACAGAGACTCTGGATAGTTACCTGTAAGGTAGTCTTTAATATTAGTGAGGGAGGATGGAATATCATGAGCAAGGGATGTTCCAATGGAGGAGAAGAACCTATTGAATTCAATAGCAGTGTCAGAGGCTGTAAGCACACCATCATCATTGGACAGGAGTATTGGTTTATTATTCAAAATCTTTTTTGATCCCAATATTTGGGAAATAGTGCTCCATGTTTTCTTAATGTTGCCCTTAATTTGGGTGAATTTATTTTCATTGTATTTTGTTTTGGCTCTCCTAATTATTTTTGACAGCATTGATAAGTAAATCTTTGAAAATTCTTTGGAGACATCTCCTAACCTATACTTCTTCTCAAGGTCATGTTTTTTTATTCATAGATTTAAGTATCCCTTTGTAAGCCATGGACTGTTTAGCCTTCTAGTTGTGACTTCTTTAGTTAGCATAGAACAGTGAGTGTTATAAAGGCAGTGTGTTTTCTGAAGAAATGTTTGTACTGCTAGGTTGATGCTCCCTATATTACCTAATTCAGTCTCCCAGTTGATATTAGCAGCAGCAACAATAAAATTGCCTATAGAAGTTGTGCAGCCTAAAGTTTATCTTCCTTGTATCTAGAGGTGGTTTGTTAATGTTGGTTGGGAGAAATGTAGGGTAATGGTCAGTGGTTCTATCAATGATTATCCCTGAAGTGGAGAGGTTATGTTAGTCCAGATGTGGTCAAGAGCTGTGGTAGTACTATCAGTGATTCTAGTAGGTCTAGTGATTAAGGGGTATGAGGAAGCAGGAATTCATACAGTTGAGGAAACTAGCAGCAGGAGAGTTATCAGGCTCGCAGAGGTCAATATTAAAAGCCCCAGAAATTATTAAATGGTTTTTGTTCAGTTTGTTCTCTAGGATTAGATTTCTAAGGTTAGAGTTGAATTCAGACACATTCGTGTTAGGAATTCTGTATATTCCTCCCACAGTCGGGACAGCCTCGCCACCCTTGACTCTGAAGCAGGCGAAGATATACTCTCCACAGGGGTCTCTAGTTTTAATTACTTTTAAACATGTCAGATCTTGGTGGTAGTAAAGAGCAGTACAACCACCTCTCTAAGTAGGACCACAGTTGTGAACTGCTGAGTAGAGCCCAGCCCAGCCCAGGGCTGCCCGGGTTAGGCTACCCTGGGTATTAGGTTAGAGGCGAGTTAGTAAAGAGGCAACTTGTCCTTCCCCTCCTTATCATTACCTGGTGAGCTCGAGTAGGAGGCTAGCGAGGCTGAGGCCCTTGACAGACCTCGCCTTGACGATGGTCAAGATCTGCGGCACCTTCATCAGCCCGCACAGTCCTATGGTTGTCACGTCGCAGAAAGCGATTAACGAGTCTATTAGAAGAGACATGTTGCATGTGGAGGGGGTGTGAGCGAGTGGCTGAGAGTGCGTGCGTGTGCCTGCCCGTCCTGGCCGGCTCTCACTCGCGCACGCACTCCGGCCCACATGTCAACATTCTCCAGGCAGGATTATTACATGTGGAGACAAGCACTCAAACAACACATATATTTTATATTATTAATGAGATTAATAATCACCCGTGGACACACAATTTACATTGCATGCGTCAATGCAAATTTTGTGCAAAATAATCACTGTGCTTTCTTAAGTAAAGCCACTCTATCCATGTTCGTATTAACCTTAGAGTTCTCAATAAAAACTACATTGCTTCAAGCAACTAGGTCTCACACAAGACAATCACTCGCACTCAAAGGGCAGAAGGCATTCATATGATTAGCACTAACCACTATATGTATGGATAGCACAAAACATATCCACTAGACAATGTAACATTGTAATTATATGTTGGTATAATAATAATATACACTTTTCCAGTTTCTGTATAAATTTCTTCAAGAAACTTGTGCCTCATTTCTTGTGGAAATCACGTTGGACTTTTTCGTTGTCATCTCATTGATGATAATCCTGCATGGGTCATCCACCCAGGGAGGTAACCTCTCTACAGGCAGGAGCTCACGGGCTTGCTCAAGCAGGTGAAGTTCTTCGAGGTACCTGACTGATCTGTGATGCCATTTTTTTTGCTTCTGCTTAATTTAGAAATTGTACTTGTGGTCGATCTCGAACCCATTGATGATGTGACGACTTAAAGTGAATTTTGTAACTAGCTCATCAAGATTGTAATTTGCTTAGCTAAATGAAAAGCCTCCAGATCTTTAGCCCCTGCTATTGCTTTGCTCTTCAACAAGTCACTTGAACTCCAAACCTTCCCAGATATTCTAAAAAAAGCGAGAGTAACGCCTGTCCACAAATGTGGTAATCTCACAGATGTTAACAACTACAGACCTATATCTATCCTGCCAAACTTGTCAAAAATTTTTGAAAAACTAATCTATAAGCAGCTTTACTCATATCTAGCCAAACTCAATATACTTAGCCCTTGCCAATATGGCTTCAGACCCAAAAAAAAGCACTAACGATGCAATTATTAGTATGCTTAACTCGATTCATACAGCTCTTGATAAAAATGAGTTCTCTGTTGGGTTGTTTGTGGACCTGCGTAAAGCTTTTGACACTGTCAACCACCAAAACCTTCTTCTTAAATTACATCATTATGGAGTCAGAGGACACTCCCTACAATACCTCAAATCCTACCTTACTGACAGGCTCCAATATGTTTCTGTGAATAATACAATTTCTCCCACCCTACCCATCAACATTGGTGTTCCCCAGGGCAGCATACTTGGCCCTCTCCTCTTTCTCATCTACATTGATGACCTTCCAAATGCCTCCCAACACCTCAAACCAATTCTATTTGCTGACGACACAACCTTCATTTGCTCCAGTCCTGATCCCCTTGCTCTAAATGCCACAGTAAATACTGAGCTAAATAAAGTCCATCTGTGGCTAACTGCCAACAAACTCACCCTTAACATTGACAAAACCTTTTATATTCTGTTTGGCAATAAATCCTCTAATCAAATAAATCTCAAAATAAACAATACCCAAATTTGTAACAAATTAGATGGCAAATTCCTTGGCATTCTCATTGACCACAAGCTTAATTTCCAGGGACACATTCTAAACATATCAAAAAAAGTTTCAAAAACTGTGGGCATTCTTTCTAAGATCAGATATTATGTACCACGCCCTGCCCTGGTGACTCTCTATTACTCCCTTATCTATCCATATCTCAACTATGGTATTTGTGCTTGGGGCTCTACTACCCAAAATCACTTACGTCCTCTAATTACTCAACACAAAGCTGCTATTAGGACAATATCCAATTCTGGCCCCAGACATCACTCGGTACCCCTACTTAAATCTCTGAATATGTTAGACATTAAGTCACTGCACATTCTCTCATGTGTATTATACATATATAAAACGCTAAACTATAATGCCAATCCTGATCTCAAAAGCTTCATAGAAGGTTGTATCAGAACCCATGAGCATCACACCAGAAATAAATACAGTTTTGATATTCCTAGAGTACGACTTAATCAAACTAGAAATGCTCTACAAATCAAGGGGCCCAGAATGTGGAATGACCTTCCCAACCATGTTAAAGACTGTACCTCTCTCAACCAGTTTAAGTTAAAAGCGAAGCTATACCTAATAAATTCCCTGTAACCTACCTTACCCTTCTATTGTCAACCAATGTCTGTTTTTTTCTTTAAAGAGCGCTGTTTGTCGACATAATTGTATTTGTGCTGCTTTTTCATCTATGTTTTCATTTCTTGTTTTCATTCTACTCATTATGCTCAATTAGTATTAAGCTTGTCATTTAAGTTTATCATGCCCGAAACGCTTTGCGTAATAGTGGCTTTAGGCATTGTATGTACTAGCTATACCTATAAGTCAAACAATCCTTGTAAATATTTATTGTATGTATGTACCTTACCTAAATAAAATTGTATTGTATTGTATTGTTGTTGAATTGTGGGGCTCTGTCCCTGAGCCCATTATGTGCGTCTGTAACCCTTTCCACTACCGCCCACAAGATGGGTATGGGGTGCATAATAAATGAACTAATCTAAACTCCTGTTTCCCCCTGAAAGTAGCACAGAATTAAGTTTTTCTTGGAAATATCATTGTAATGAGGATCTCTGGCGCCATCGACGCAGTGCAGAGGCAGTAACAATTAATGAAGGTACTTGCATGCGCACTTGTTACATGGATTACTTATCCTAGTGACCAAACATTTGCCCTTATGCGCCAGGCCGAGGTCAGAATGCAGCTGCCCTGTGTACTCACCTAGTTGAGCTTTGGTGTTTGGTCTCCGCCTCTCAACTGTCAATCAACTGGTGTACAGACTGAGCCTACTGGGCTCTATCATATCTACATTTGAAACTGTGTATGGAGTCAGTCTCCACCACATCACTGCCTATTGCATTCCATTTGTTAACTACTCTGACACTGAAAAATATCTTTCTAATGTCTCTGCGGCTCATTTAGGTACTAAGTTTCCTCCTGTGTCGCCTTGTTCGTGTTCCACCCGTGCTGAAGAGTTTGTCTTTGTCCACCCTGTCATTTTCCCTGAGAATTGTGTAGGTGGTTATCGTGTCTTCCCTTACTCTTCTGTTTTCCAAGGACGTGAGGTTCAGCTCCCTTTACCTTTCCTCGTAGCTCATACCTCTCAGTTCCGGGACGAGTCTGGTGGCATACCTCCGAATCTTCTCTAACTTTGTCTTGTACTCACCTAATTGTGCTTGCGGGGGTTGAGCTTCGTTTTGTGTTTGAGAAGATAAGGCCAGGACGCTGGTCCCGTGTATCCTATTGTATCAGTAGGGTTGATAAAGCTTTTTACAGGCGATACGTTATCAAAACAAGTTGACTTATCATTGTGTTGTTTACATCGTTGTCTGCATTTTGTGTTTTGTCCGACCCAGTATGTTTTTTTTTTTTTCTTTGCAGGGATATTCCTGCGCGGGCCCTAAGCCTCTGGCTGGCCCACTAAGTGTTGCTTGTTTCTGTTTTACTTGGGCGGAGTATGAGTATTTATGACTCGTATGGTCGCTTTAGTCACACATTTAGGTCACACATTTTGCCCCATGTGTTTAACAACTTCTGCGCTGTTGAATCTAAGTTGAAATCTTAATGGGTTTGCAACTGTGCACTGTGTTAGATAATGTTCCAGTGGTCTGTTGTGGCTGTAACTGTGCACTGTGTTAGATAATGTTCCAGTGGTCTATCTGGCATTTCTCCACAGTGCTGACATTTCCTCTCATCTTCCGGAGCCTGTAAGCCTATTTCCCATGCACATGGGTATCCAAGCCTGATGCGATGTAAGTGTACTTCTGTTGCTCTACTGCTCCCTTTCATCAAACTAAGTGGTTCGTAGTTGGTTGACTTCTTGTACCAACCCGCAGATCCTGATGTTGCAAGTGCTGTGTTGTAGTCACTGTACATCTTTTGCATTGCTCTGTTTTTTGTCACACTGCTGACGAAACATCAACCAATACAAATGGAAAGATTAAGTGATCTGGTGTTTCTTCACCCTCCAGAATCCAAATGGTAGAAGATATTTGCGTAGAATGGAAAATATACAAAAGAAAATTAATAATAGTCACAATGTTGTTGTATTTAATGACATTAATGACATGTGTATTAGAGAAAACCTGCTCCCAATATATATATATATATATATATATATATATATATATATATATATATATATATATATATATATATATATATATATATGAATGATCAATTTAATAAACAATACTTGAATTTTTAATTTTTATCCAAAATTAATTTAGCAACCTGACGTAATCTATATGGATATTGTTCCTTAATTCTAGCCAACGTAAGAAAAACTAGGCCTAATTAAGTTAGCAATTAATAAAATGTTTTATTAAGGACATGCTAACATGTAAAGTGATATATTCACAAATATACATAATCACTGGTAGGAAAAATAGTCCTTGCTTACTAGGCCTAGTAATGCGGCTCTTATGTACATTATAAATAAATTGTCCATTCTTATATTGACAGACACAACCACAATAGCAATAACAATTCACAGAAAATGTAATGAAAGTCCCACAAGTGGTTGTCAGGTTCATTGTTCCAGCCATGCACGTGGCCAGGCAGAATAAATACTCACAGTTAACGACTCCCTGACCACGTGATAATAAACAATTTATAACGTGGGAAGTACTTGGAAATTTGCACTATTTCTTGCGTTATTACATATGAGAAGTATTTTCATGAAAATTTTCCGCGTTTTCATCTAGTTTGACACGCGCTTTTTATAGTTATAAACGTTCTACTGGAGAAATTTTTGTTTTAGAAGACAACCAAATAAACTTGCAGTTTCACTTATGAGATCATCAAAAAGTTCTGTGGAAATAGCCTCTTTTATCTGGTGCTCCTCTTTGGTGAAGTTGTGCCAGTGTTGGTCATGTATGCGGACCTCTGTGGCCACTACGGACTCCACCAGCCTGTTGGCCACCTCCTGCGACGCCGTCTCCTGCAGGTCCGACGGCCCATACAGGGAGCCACTCTTGAACACCTGCATGCCAGAGGGGCTTCCCCGGCTACTGTCCTCCTGCTTATCAAGGATACTAAGAACTCTATTTTGTACTAGGTGAACGGGGTAGTCTACACACAACGACAAAGAGTGGGGATACTTATCACTACATTCAGACATCACTGATTTGACTAGATCAAACATTAGTAAGTTATTAAAGCTCCTACTACCAAAGTATATATTATGATCGGATGCAAGGCTGGTCTTGCCATCGGGGCAAGGGATGGTCACATCAGTACGAATGTCTGCACGAACACATGACTGTATGTACTGCAGGAGTTGGTGGTGGGTGAGTGGGTGGCCAGGACGTCTTCCGGCACTCTGGCTACTCACTGCCAGGGGCTGCTCGCACTCTCCTGCTGGCTTGTACACTTTAATAATGTTGTTGTTATTGTGGAACGTCACCGGGAATATTTCTTCGTACTTTTCTCCTCTGCTTTTGGAGGTAAATTTTTCTCTAATCTGAAATGGATACAAGAGATAATATTGAAAGTTCGCACATGCAAATGTATTTATATGCACATACGAGTACTTTAAAAAGTACTTTAAAAAGAGAGACCTGGGCACAGCTGGGTACCCCATCTAGTTAAAATAATAAATAATGATATTAAAACATTCAACCATAAATGCTTGCTTAGCTAAATGAATTGTGGGGTTCAGTTCCTGACCCAATTATGTGCCGCTGTAACCCTCTCTACCACTTCCCACGGCATGGGTATGGGGTGCAGAAAAATTAATTAATTATAAATCAACCATAAATGTTATGTAGAATTTGTATGGTATAATCTGGTTCCGATGCCCAACGCTGGACCCGATGATAACTCTCAAAAGCCTCAAAGCACTCGTATAAAAAGTCTGATATGTTTAGATTTGATACATAATGTATATATGCAGCACAAAATGCCCACCAGAGATTGCGACAGAGTGGTTGCCAGAAACAGGTTGGGTTACCGTTACCTGTTGCAGGTGGGTACAGGTGATGACTCCCACATGCCTGAGCACTCCAGGTGTAAAGCCTGAGCAGAAACTGGGTCATAATTGTACACACTACATTATTGTGTCCAGTCATTAGACTCTTCAACCTCTCGATATGAGGTACCTAGAGCTTTGTAATTAATTTATTCTCTCGAGTTTATCTCGATATCTTTATAATGCATCCAATATTTGTAGGTATAGGCTGTTGATCATGGTCCTGTATGACTAAACATCCTGCGAGATGGGGATAGTTTAAGTATCACAAAGCTAACTCAAGACGCAGACTACGTAAACCCTCGTATAGCCTAGGGTAGCTGCATAAATGCGGATGTACCTATGATAATAGAAAGTATTTATGGAATGGAAAAGTATTGCGTGCATAAACAACTAGCGATGTCTAGTTTGATCACCTACCGGCAGGGTGGTGCCATAACAATAGAAGGCGGCCTTATTGTAGCACTCAAAGACGTCCTCCAGTTCAGATGGCTTCCATACCTCACATGATCGTTTCTCGTCGTTAAAGTTTCCATAGTGATACGGACTGTCCGGTGCTTGGTCATCTAAAAAGAAGTCATTTTTGTGTTTATTATCTCTACAGATATATTTAGGAACAAAATCGGTATTGTCTGATAGTTTCGTTTCCGCCAACGGTCTCATCACCTCACCCTCGGCTCGCTGACGATCACACTCGAGCTTCTTCAAGTCAGCCTCCAGCTTAGCAGCAAATGATTCGACAAAAAGGCTTCTAACCCGACCATTCTTATGAACGACGGCGGTGCACTTAGTGTCTACTCCGTTCAAAAGCGGCTTGTCAAACACTGTCTTGTTGAGCTCGAGAGTGTTTGCCGTCTCGACACCCTGAGGTGCGTCGCTGTAGACAGACGCCAACCCATTTGATGTTGATTTGCGTTGGAGGGGCTTAGGCTGCTGGAGCAGCTTAGCGTGCTGAGGGGGTTTGGAGTGATGGAGAGTTTCAGACTGGAAGGTTTTTGGATGGTTGTTGTGTGTGGAAGACTGGTCTGGAAGTGTCGAGGCAACATTAGGAGCGCCCTCAGACAACACTACTGGGTTAACGTAGCAGAAAGGATGCTCCACGTGTACCTGTTGAGAGTAAATCTATTAGTGATAAGATAAAGGTGCTCACCTGTGTTTGGTAGTTGTATAAATTAATAGGGTTTATCTAATGATGTGTTGCACTTGATCAGCGTCCCTGTGTCAGGGGTTATTGTGGCACTTGACCACCCTACGTGTCAGGGGTTACCGTGGCACCTTGTATAGTCTTGTTTAGGGAGTTACCAGGTTTACCAAGTAACGATGGTGGGTATTATTTAAGCAGCAATGTGTCTGGATAAATTCCTCATCATTATTTTTCCACAATTTATAATTTAATAATTATATTTCTTTCAATGATAAATAATTTGTTTTGGTTTTCTTCTTACACCAAAATGATGTTTTCTTGAAGAAATCCCAATAGATTTATTACTTTATTTTATTTTAAAGATAGCTTTTTATACAGTTATACAAATGATATGATGATAAATAATATGATTATTATTTGTTAAATGTAACATTTTGTGAAATTATATTAAGTTAATACAAAAGAAAGCTTTATTGTTTAGTGGTTATCAATACTTTGTAAGAATTTAAATTGCAGTTTAACAAAATGGTATAAATAATTGTGGTAACCTTGTCAGAGTCGAACCAGGCGCCATGGTGTTGGTCCTGAGCGTCCCGACAGCCTAGTCCAAGGGAGCCACACTGGCAGCAGGCCGCCACCACCACCCATACTGACGACGTCACATTCTGCATGGAAGCCACCAGGGAGGCGGCCACCTGACGGGGGGAGGAAGTCAGGAACCAGGACGAGTCCCTGGCCCACGGTGCCATTACGCCCCACTCCTGGTCATTCTGGGGTGGGAGGCAGTGCCGTGGGCCAGGCCGGGGGTGCTCAGGGTGCCAGCCACGGCTTCACCACCTCCGCTGCACGATTACTCATTGTCATTCACTTAAGAAACTGGACGTTGGTGTCTCACAAGGTGGCGGGCCGTGTGTCACTGGGAGATACTCCTGTCTCCCACCTCAGTACGCTCGTAGCACTCTTTGTTCAAACTTCTCTATATTTATTTCAGTGCCGGTTTGTGCATATCTGTTGTGGAACAAAACCTAATTAAATGTAAACACGCACGAAGATGTTTAGGTGAGGAATAGGATATATGAACACGACCTACTGTAGTCGGCCGTGGAGAGCACTCACCGCCATCACTAGCACCAGGTGAGAACACACCACACAATATATGTACTCTGAAGAAGTGGCCACGTAAAATGTTGAAATAGATATGTAGGTTAGTGTGTACTACGCATGGAAGTGTTGAGTGGGGGGGGGGGTGTTGCAGGAAGGCCTCGCTCTTCTACACTGGCTGCCGGATGGTGCCTCACTTCACTTATCACCAGTCTCCTTCACGATAACAACACCAAGATATCGCTCAACATTTACACACTCACAGTATTTCGTAGTTATTATAGAAAATCGATAAGTTAAAATGTAGAAATTACGATATTCGTCCCGAATGTTGCCTTATGAGCCGTATAGACCTTGGGTTGATACGACTGTGATGGTAATGCAGGCCCCCCATACCCGCGGTGATGGCAGCGGGGATGGCATACACCCGCTGCTAACTAATGTCAGTATGTTACACAGTGGTGACGTGTGGGGCAGAGCGGGGTGTTTATATTGTCTCCGTGGCACAGTGGTAAAGTACTCGCCGTGCGCTTCGCGAGCGCTTTAGCTTGGGTTCGTATCCTGGCCGGGGAGGATTGACTGGCGCCAACCCTTAACTGTAGCCTCTGTTCACCCAACAGTGAACGGATACCTGGTTGTAAACTATTTGACGGGTCGTATTCCGGGGAAAATTAGAATTAAGGACCTGCCCGGAACGCTATGCGTGCTAATGGCTTTACAAGAATTATCAGGGGGAAAGCGCCAAGCCATTAAGACTATATAACACTGGAAAGGGACCAGGATAACGAACCACTTGGTCCGGGAGACATCTCCCGTCACGCAGGGTGCAGTCGCACCTCCACAGATCTCCAGTATCAGCTCTTGATACTGGTAATGGCTCAAAAGGGCCACCACTTACGGGCTATTCATGCCCGTGCCACCTTTTGGGTGGCTTAATCTTCATCAATCAATCAGGATAACGATTTGGGATGGGACGGGGGGAAGGAATGGCCTCCAACCATTTGGACGATCGGGGATTGAACGCCGACCTGCAACCGACACTTAAACCAAGTGGTTTAAGAACTCTTGTGTGTGTATATATATATATATATATATATATATATATATATATATATATATATATATATATACACACAAACCCACAAACAAATAAACAAAAACCCACCGTGGACACGATGCTGTGAAGCAGAGAGATATTGGTCCCGGATGTTGTTTATCAGCAACAGCAACTGTTGATAAACAGCGAGGTGTTTATCAACACACACACCACCACCACCACATACTGTACTCCCTGCAGGCCGCAGGTGCAGGCACGCTCTATACCTTCCGCCTCACATTAGCTGTCTCCTGCACCCAACACACGCACGCATGCATCCATGCGTGCACACACACACACACACACACACACACACACACACACACACACACACACACACACACACACACATGTGAAGAGATTCATCATGACTGGTGTTGTTTTAACATCGATGTACCGCTGACTGTAGAACAAGCAACTCTAGCAAATTTGCTATTGATACAAAATAATGGGAAGAATAGGCTCTGAAGAAGACAAAATAACTTCAATTCGACTTAGGTTGGCTATTAAAATAGACGAGAAATTTGCAGAAACAATTTAATTCCAATAAATATAGGGTTCTAAGCCTGGGAGTAGTAGTAATAATTTAATAATTCATTGTGTCGGGGGACAGGCAGCCAGAGTGTATTCATACACGTTAGGCTTATATCGAGATCCCAAAATTAGCTAGCTCTATAAATCCATCAATGTTTGTATCACACCTTGTATGTATGTACTTTACCTGAATAAACATTTGAATTTGAATTTTTTGAATTTGAAAATCCTAAGCTTAAAAATGAAAATATAAATGTTGGATATAAAACAAGAAAGATCAGCAATATAACTATTATCATTCTTCAGCAATATCTTGCCCTTGTTAGGCGTCATTACATTATGCACTTCAGTTTTGGTAATTTGGAATTAGTAACCTCCGCTGTGGAGAGAGAGAGAGAGTAGGAGAGTGTAAGTCATATTCTCTACAGATGGGAAGAGTAAGGAGTGACACGATACAAATGTACAGCTGGGTGATACACTTTAACAAAAGGCATATTAATTAATAATGTGCTAAATATATCAACACAAAATGGAACAATGAATCGTAAATAACAGTGTTATGATTTACGGAGCAATTATCTGGTAACATAATAGAGGTGGGGTCCCCGGAGTGCTTCTGGTGAAGCTGATGGGCCCTTAATGTATGTACCATTGTGTCTCAGCGTACATATTGCAACTCTGCCCTCCAATAGGACTATTTTGCACTTCCTGCCATACCTTCAGCTCTCATGTACTGTTACTTCCATGTTTGGAAATAACACCACATGACTGGTTTCCATTTGAAGCCAGTCCCTCTAATACTTTCCCAGTTGTAAATTAATATACATATCTCCCCTGGGATCCAAAGAGCATAGTCTGAGGGACTTTAAGTGCCCCCAATAGTTTATATGGGTTACTTGTTATGGGTTCTGGCATAACAGTTATGTGGACGTTCTCCAGGTAAGCATCTTCTCTAGCTTGGCCTGGGATTGTTAGTGAGCAACAATATCCCACCCTAGAGAGCACTATAGTGTCTCAACTAACAAGTATCATCACTGGCCTCGCATCTATTGTGTGAGAGGATTTTGTTGTCATTTTTCTTGTGTTTGTGACAACTACCTTATTGTGTTCTTTAAAGGTAAGGTCACCCCACGTTACTCCCTGGTCTCTTACTGATTCTTTCTGTACTGTGGTTATATCTGATATGGTTCCTCTTTGGACTACTTAGTGGTAATCCATAACGGAGTATAAGGGATTTGTCTTCAGCCAACACCTCTTGTTGTCTATAGACCATGGAAAGATCTTGCTTTACATTTATATAATAAATTATTTAATTTATGTTCTATAAATGTTTATATTTATTAAACCATTTACAGGCCTCGAAACTTCACAATCCTGGTGTAAACACACACCTGACGCCACCACCTTCTGCTGTAAACACACACCTGACGCCACCACCTTCTGCTGTAAACACACACCTGACGCCACAACTTACAGGTGTAAACACACACCTGACGCCACCACCTTCTGGTGTAAACACACACCTGACGCCACTACCTCCAGGTGTAAACACACACCTGACGCCACTACCTCCAGGTGTAAACACACACCTGACGCCACCACCTCCAGGTGTAAACACACACCTGACTCCCCCAGCAGCGCTGGTAGGGCTTCAAGCAACAAACACCGCAGAAGGCCGCAGCCTTCCCTCGCTGGCCGCGTTATGAACCAACACAGCTGGCGCCAGCGGTGGTGTAAATATTTGGCCAGAGACTGGCAGGTGAGGGAGACACACACACCTGTTAAGAGGCACACAGTTTACCCTTAAGTAACTGTCCTGGCGGCCACACTGGCCAGTGAGAGCTTCACGCTCACTGGAAACCATTGCAGTGTGTGCAACTCAAGGCAGTCTTTCAACAGTGCGCGCTCAAAATCACCGCGGACACCAAGCACTCTGATCTCCCTCACCAAACTGTCCACGGCTATTAAGAGGGAGACACTCGTAAGATTTAAATGGCCACAACAGCTACCACTGGGGTTTAAATGTCCAACACTATGAGCACTGGGGTTTAAAAATGGCGGACTGCGGTCGCTTGCCACAGGTTGCTGGACGGGACTCAGCGTGACCCAGAGTGTTCACTTTTCCCGTGTGGCTTCGTCCTTCCCACAGCGAAGTGTTGTCTTCAACTGGAATAGTTGTGACCTGTGAGAGGGTGTCAATACTCTCCCCGTGTTGACCATGTTGTCACATGTATGGCAGCGCGCGTCTGACACACCTTACACACACACACACACACCTGCTGATCACATCACCAACACCGCCGAGTATAGCAGCAGGTGTGAGTGCTGGAGGTGAGGAGGAAGCCAAAGGGGGGGAGGGGGGCAGGAACCAGGCGAAGGGGGGTAGGAACCTAACGAAGGGGGGGTAGGAAATAGCCAATCTGCTGGTGGATGGGTCATTGTCAACTACTTCCTCAACTTGTGCCATTCATAGAGGCCTTCTCCCGTGAGACGAGGTTGTTAACTACCCACCAGTGGCTAGCGTGAGTGTTGGGTGGCGTGTGTGGGCCGCTGGGGGCCACTGGGGACCACTGGGGGCCACCTGCACCATATAAGCAGGCTACAGGTGCACCTTGGGCCACTCTACCTCGCTACACTGTCGCTCTTGGGGCCACTAGGCTGCCCCCCGTCGCTACTGCTGTTTACAATGTTCAAATACCACAGAGAATGATCTTCATTTAATCCCCTAGCCTTTAGAGCTCACTTGTCATGGTAAATAGAGGTGAAATGAACCATATGGCGAGTGGGAGTTGGACGCAGCCTTGACGCACGCAGGTGAGTCATGAATCACCTCCAAGTTGCCGCCTCATCCAACATCATCACAATTTATTCATGGAGTGCTGTGGCAACCAGCGGGCCCGGATGACGCCCCCAGAGGGTAGACTCACACACATATCTACTACCACAGTTTACAGGTAGACCTGCAGGAGCTCCCGAGAAGATATGAAAAGGAGGGTAATGTTGGCGTGGGTGAACGGGTTGGCGGGAGCTGTGACATGGCTTCCTGTAGGTGAGTCACTCAGGCGGTGGAGGGAGGAGGTGCCTGGCTTACCCACACTCACCCCCACTACCCTGGGGGACCCACAAACACCCTAAAGGGACCCAGAAACCCCCCTCCCCTCACCCAAGGGACCCCGTGAACCCCACCCCCTTAAATGAATATCAAACCCGAAGCCTCAGGAACAATGACACACATTTTATATTAGAAATGAAAAGCAGCCTAAAATACAGGTGAATGTTGTGCATGAAGGTGAGATGAACAATTGCAATGTTCTGTGAGTGTTCACCTCGGTGTTGATCAAGGCCCCGCATGCCGTGTGTGCTCACAAGCTCTCAAGGTGACAGTTATTGACACTACTCATGT